AGATAATATAAAATTGGCTCATTCTTCGTTACAACAATTTTTTGAATTTTATGTAAAGAAGGTGAAAACGTCAGATCCGTGGCCCTTTTCTGATTCTCCATACCGCCTTCCCATTCTGCATTAGCAAGCAGATAGCGAACACTATTCCCCTTTTTTAACTTATTTTTCTCATCCTTTCCAACAGAACGCTTATACTTTGTAGATGGCCTAGATTCTACTCATTCCAGTTTGATAGCTTTTGCTAGAGCTAAACCCCATTTTGATGAATCTGGAGCTCGAATGAGACATGTGGATAATTATTAAGATAATCTATTACTTCTGGTAAATACTTGACCCACTCTCTTATTAATTTAGGATTTTTGGATATTGATTCAACAGCATACTGAATTTTATAAAGCATCTCTGCTAACGTTTTATTGAATCGTTCTACAAGAGCTAATCCACGATGACTATAAGCACCAATTACTCGAATTGTGACATTATGCGCTTCCATTAGCTGACTTACCGATTTTTTGAATTCTGTCCCACCATCACATTGTAACAATTGAGGATAGATAAGGGGTTATTAGGGTTATCATAAATTTTCCTGAATGCTTTGGCAACCTCACTGGATTTTTTTGATGTAAGTGGGACTGAAGCTTTAAACCGGCTACCCACATCTATTATATTAAGCACTGCTATCCATTTTTTACCTTTATAATGATCATGCGTAAGAAATAAGAGATTGCACTGATGTACACAATTCGGGCGAGTGATTTTACCATAACTAAACCGTGGAGTATCTTTTGGTGGTGGGGCATGTTTTTGCCATTCATTCTGGTTCGTAAGCCACTCACATACTTTTTTATATGGAAATTGATATCTCTCTGCTTTAAGATCTTTCCATAATTTTTTGGGGTTGGAATGATACCCTGTTGGTTGATAGAATAATAACCGGCAAACAAGATCTACTTCCTCATCAGGATCTATAATAATACTAGGTTGGTCTATTTTTAATGCATTTTACTATATCAATAAATTATTATTTGACAAAGTTTCCAGAAGCGTCGATATATTATAGGCTTGTACAATGCCATCAGATACAATAGTGTCTCCACCCAGTGAAACAATCAAAAAATTCGAAGCTAGTTTGCAGATAATAAAAAATCAATTCTGTAAATTACAATGTGATCTAGATTTAAAAGAGGATTATATTAATTACCTTGAAAAAGAAATCTCAATTCGTGATGAGGAGCTAGACGCATTAAGATCAGAAATTTCTAATCTTATAAAACAGTTAGAAAATGTATTTAAAGAATCTGAAAAGTGAGAAAATTATATAGATTATTTAGAAAAGCAGTTAGCATTTTTTCAGAATGAAATAGACAAGCTTAATGAAAAAATACTTGTTTTGTATAAAAATTCCAATGATACTATAGAGATGGCACAACAACCAGGATCACCTAGATTATCTCTACCTGAAAATCAAGCTACGATCCAAAATAATAGAATTCAGCAAGAGATTAATAATATTAGACAGTATTTTCAAAGCCCAGTCACAATAGCACCTACAATAAATGGTATTGTAGATTATCTTAATATAATTTCAGATGCCGGCAATAGGTTTGAAAGATTGGTACTAGATATATATCCACGGGTGAATATTCGCGCAATTAATGCAGAAAATCAAGTAGCAGATTTGCAAACCCAGTTAGCTAATTCACAAACCCAGTTAGCCAATTTACAAACCCAGTTAACCGATTCACAAATCTAGTTAGCTATGCTCCAAAATGACTACGGCCTTTTTCACCACGCTTATGGGGCCCACAGAACACAACACAATATATTTAAATCTCAAGAACTTGATGGTCAAATTACAATCTGTACGCAAAAAAGACAAATATCAGAGTTGTTAGCAGAAAAATTTACATTGCGTCTTTTGAATAGACGAACTCAAAAGCAAT